GCTGGGCTGCAGTACCCCAGGCTGCCAGCAGATGGCCCTGCCTAACCGCGGTTCTGCCCCACCAACGCTAAGTTACTAAGCCTTACCATTTCTGAGTATTTTCTAACTACAGAATTCTTTTCATCAAATATACTTCACATGAGGAAAACACATCTGGCTGCATTCCAGGTTTGTAGCAAAGTCCACATATTAATTAAACGCTTAGAATATTCTTAGGTCACAGATGGGATCAGGAGGGAGACAAACCATAGGAGACTCTTAATTTCACAAAACAAACTGAGGGTTGCCAGGGGGAGGGCAATAGGGAAAGGGGGGTGGGGTTATGGGCACTGGAGAGGGTATGTGCTATGGTGAGTGCTGTGAAGTGTGTAAACCTGGTGATTCAGAGACCTGTACCCCTGGGGCTAATAATACGTTATATGTTAATAAAAAATAATAATAAAAAGAGAATATTCTTAGGTCACCATTACTTGTCTTCAAGTTCTAAGTACCTCTGGCACACAAGTGACACCCCAAGGCTTAGCTCATCAAAAAAGCTGGTAATTTTTGTGTTGCTCTCAAGGAAATTCAGAATAAAGTTAGTGTGGTTCACTTAATTAGGGGCATGGGTTCAGAAGGCATTTGCTAAAATGACCATCGTTATAAATCATATATCACATTAATGTCACATCCTTATTTCAAAATTTGCTTTTTATTTTCTGATTATGTCACTAGATTCTGGCAGCCACTATATCCAAACGTTGCTTTTTTTAATGCAATCTACTTCACACTGTCCTAGTCTACCACCTTAAAGACAGACTAAAGCTGACTCTGAGGTTTGCTGGGAGCCCATGTGTCCATCCTCTTTCCTCCTTTGCACAGTGGCCTCGTTGAGGGTGTTTAGTTAGATGTCCCTCCATCCCTGACAGGAGTCCTAGCCTGAGGCGCTACCAAGACCAAGGCAGGACACAAGATCACCAAGGTGCAGGGACAAGATGTGTATGGAGAATTGTGGCAGGGAGACCATGGCTAATGAAAGACTATGGCCTCTAGGAAGCTCATGGCAAAGTGGGAGCAGGACTGGATGTTCTGAGAAGAGAGGGCTTGGCACCTGACTGGCAAGGGGGTGGGGCACCACCAACCCTGTGGTTAGCCCTATGGTGACCCTCAATGGCCTTCAGCTAGAAAATTGTAATAAAAAATAATCTCTGCTCACTGCATGGTGAAATGATACTGGAATTATGCAGTGTACAGCTTGTGCAACTGTACCAGTACCCCTAGGTCAGCTGAAGCCCTCTACCACTTGGCCAACTGCTTCATGTCATCTCATTATGTCCCATAGTTTCTCTCTAGGCAGGGGTTATTTCCCCACATTACAAAGGCTTCTAGGAGTAGCCTTCATTAGAAAAGCATGTGACCCAGAAAGCCTAGATGCAAGAACATCTGACCCTTGTTCATTGTGGCCCCCAGAGGCTATTGAAGGGGACCCCAGGTTGTCCACCCTTCATTGTGAAGTAGCAGAGAATAGGGGAGGGGTGGGAGCCAGGAAGCTGCCCATGTGTGCAGAGCAGAGCTCAAAACTAAGTGGTGGGGTTGGGGGTCAATGAAAGGCCATTTGGCTCCCGCTTCACTTTCCTGAAGGGCTTGTGACCTCTGGGACACAACATTCAATATCAAAAGGATTCTGCAATGTTAATTTTTTTTAAAGATTTTATTTATTTATTTAACAAGAGAGAGAGAACAAGTGAGCACAAGGAGGGGGAGAGGGAGAGGGAGAAGCAGACTCCCCACTGAGCAGGGAGCTCAATGTGGGGCTCGATCTCAGGATCCTGGGATCATGACCTGAGCTGAAGGCAGATGCTTAACCAAATGAGCCACCCAGGCATCCCTACAATGATAATTTTTTGGCAAGGATGAACTTCGGGCCTCAAAAGATTCCAAATCAAAGGAAGAATAAATTATACTCAAGAAAAACCTGAGCCAGAAAAGACATCTGGGTTCTCCAATAACTGGAAAGTTTATTTCCAGAATTTCTTTTGCCCTAGCATTCCAGAACTTGAAGTTTTACTGAATCTGAAGGTTTCAGACTTAAGACATTTCACTGTGTGTCCCTCAGGATCTGTACTTCTCCTGCTGGGGTCAATGTGAGTCTCCAGAAGACCCCAGAACAAAGGTGCCACTCTTTCCTAGAGGAGAAATGTCATTTAAAGATTTGGAAAGTAAAATTTTACTCAAAAGTTTAAAACACAGTTACATAATGAAATAGAATGCAACATCCATAGATTTTAGAAATGAAATTCAAACTCTTAAAAACTTAGGGCTGCAAGACAGACCTCGTAAGGTTTGAAGACATTGCTTTTCCTAACTTGCTGTGATGTTGGACAAGCTTCTTCACCTCTCTGAGCCTTGGTTTCCTCATCTGTAGAACCTGAGAGGGACTGGATTTCCAAAGCCTCAGGGTATTGACTGCTATGCTTTTCTTTTTATTAACTTTACCCGTCCCTTATGTATCGGTCAGCAACCTCTGGAGAAATGGCACCAGTGCACAGCTCCTATCAGTTCAAGAAATTGGCTATTGTGATTTTCCCAAACCTGATATCCGTGGGGGCAGCCCCACAGTCTGGAAACTCAAACACTCTAGACAGAAACTCTCAAGGCAGAACTCATTCTTCCAGAAACCTCAATTTTTGCTTTTAAGTCTTTGAAATGATTGCACAAGGCCCACCCGTTTTCGAGAATAATTGCCTTTGTTAGGTCACTTGACTGTAGATATTAACCATGTGTACAAAACACCTTCAGAACAGTACTTGGATTAAATAACTCAGTACTAGAGTCCAGTAAGTTGATGACATAAAACTAGCCGTCACGCCTGTGATGCACTCTTCTGAGGAGGGTCGAGTCAGGACCTGAGCTGCTCAGAAGGACCTTAAGCTTCATTTAATGCTCTATTGTCACTCTCTTGACACACTTGTTTTGCTCTGGACCCTGTGAATTACATAATCAGCCCTGCTGAAGGGCGGGGTCTGGCTCTCCTGGCCACGGACTTGGATCTTCTGGCTGAGGGAGGCTCCCTGAGGAACCTTTGTTCCCACCCCTCGCCGCCCCTGGGCCTGCCAGGCCTTCACGACTATGCCATTTCCCTGACACTTCATCGGACTCCTCCCTGATATTGCTACTGAATGTCCTCTGCACATTAATTTTGCTTCCCTGAGCTTGAATATAAATTCCTTCATGTTTATTGGAGTAAGAAATCTCTAACACAAAATTTATCATTTTAACCATTGTCAAGCATACCATTCAGTGACGTTTTTATTTATCCACAGTCATGAAACCACCACCTCCAGCCTCCTCCAGAGCTTTTTCATTGTCCAAGACCAAGTCCCCAGTGACTACCAGCTCCCCATTCCCCCACCCCCAGCCCCCTGCAGCCCCCATTCCGCTGTCTCTATGAATCTGACTGCACTAGTTGCCTCATCTAAGCGGGATCATACAGTGTTTGTCTTTTTCTGACCGGCTTATTTACCATGATGTCCACAAGGTTCATCCATCTTGCAGCCTGGGTCAACATGTCCTTCCTTTTCAAGGCTGAGTCTACTATACATTGTGCTCCTCCATTTCTCTCTGCCAAGTTGGGCAGCTTCCACATTTTGATGATGGTGAATAAATTCTGCTCTGAACATGCTGCACAAATCTCTCTTCAACTCCCTCCTTTCAGGATTTCTGAGCGTATACCCAAAAGTGGAATGGCTGGATCACATGGTAACTCCAAGTTTAATTTTCTGAGGACCCACCATATTGTTTTCCAGAATGGCTGCGCCAGGTTACGTTCCCAGTTGATGCTTAACATTTCCTCTCCACATCCTTCACAGCACTTGTGGTTTTTTTTTTTTAAAGTTTTTTTATTTATTTGACAGAGATCACAAGTAGGCAGAGAGAGAGGTGGAAGCAGGCTCCCCACTGAGCAGAGAGCCCGATGTGGGGCTCGATCCCAGGACTCTGGGATCATGACCCGAGCCGAAGGCAGAGGCTTTAACCCACTGAGCCACCCAGGCGCCCCATGTTTTTTTTTAATTTTTTAAGTAATAATGAGCCTAATGGGTATGAAGTGATAATCTCACTGTGGTTTTATTTGCACTTTGGAAATGATTAAGGACATGGAGCATCTTTTCTTGGGCTTGTTGGCCATTTGGGTATCTTCTTTGGAGACATGTTTGCTCAAGTCCTTTGCCCATTTAAACATTTTTGTTTGTTGTTGAATTCTAAGAGTTCTTTATATATCGTGGATATTAACCTCTTTTGAGAGATGAGATTAGAAATTTCTTGAGGCCAGGAACCTGTCTTAATGTTTTGATTTCCCAAAGCACTTGACACCCTAGTAGATGCTCAGTGAATACTCACAAAAGAATGGCCACAAAAAGTGGTAGGCCAGAGACCAGTTGAAACTAAGTTTGCAAAACAAATATGAAGAACATTTTCTAGGCCTGCCCGCGACCCGTTACCTCTGGTGAGAAGCCAGGAAATAAGTGAGCCTCCTGTTCCCCAAGGATTACCTGGAGATGAAGAGGTGGGAGGGCAGAGAGTGAACAATTCTTGGTCTTTATTTGAAAGGAGCAGCAGGCCCACTTCCCACACACATCCCCTGCAACAGACACGCTTGAAGGTCAGCCTATGGGAGGTCAGGTGGACAGACAGAAACTGGGAGAGGGCAGCCTTGGGGCAGATCGGTGCTGACCTTGGCATCTGAGAACCCCTCAGGGTGTAAGAAGGCAGAGCACAGACCCGTAACAACTGTGCCTGAACACATGTTCCTGGAGGCCTGGGAGTTACAGACCCCTAGCTGGCAGGTGGAACCTGTGAATGACCGAATCCCTGACCTCTTAAACAGAACATTTTGGGGTTTCTCTATTTCCTGGGAAAACAACGTGGTGATTTTAGGTTCAGGAAAACGGACTGCTGCATGTAAATGATGTCCATGGAGACTTGGGAGCTCTTCTTTGCGGGGGGTGGGATGGGTGGTGAGGACACAGGAAGTAGAACAGGGAGCCCTGCAAAGACCCAGGCTCATCTCTGGGGACTGGAGCAGCTGTGGGGGCAGCAGCCGAGGGCCTGCAGAGAGAGGCCAGCTCCCCTCCAGGCCTGTGGGATGTTGAGCCTTCATTCTCGCTGGAGGGATGAGATGGGGTGGGCTCAATTCATTTTCTTTCTGTTTCAGTAGAACACCTTCTCCAGATATGCATTCAGGAACATCCCAGTGGGGTCCAGCTTTTCTCGAATGGCACAGAACTTTGAAAAGGCTGGGTACATCTTCTCAAAGTCCTTCCGGGTGCAGTTGTGGGCCTGCGGAAGCAACCAGACATGACAGGCCTTGCTCCCTGGAGCTGGCATCTCAGCGGGGCTGCAACCCAGCAACCCTGAGTCTGTAGGTCTGCATATGTAACACTCCTACTGCTGGGCACATGCCTGTGTGCACTCCCTACACGTGCACGCGTGCTTGAAAAATGTACCCCTAGCCACACGGGCACGCATGCGTACACACACACAATGTAAAGACCCAAGGAGACAGGATGTTCTAGAAGGTAGAGGATGGTGTTACAGTGTTAATGGGAAACGCCCCCCTTCCCTTTGGCACCGCACAGTGCGAGAGCCTAGAGGGCTCTGGCCCCAACTGTATGAACTGTAAGTCCCATCCCTCTGAGAGCCTCTCAGTTTCCCATCTGCTAAAGGGGCTCACGGCTTCCTGCCTTACCCTGCTCATGGGGTTTCTATGGGAATCAAATACAGTGAAAGAGGACAAATTTCTCAGAACATGCCAAGGGAGTGGTCACCCAGTACAATCACTGAGCTGCTGGAATGTGGATGAGGCGGGGGAGCCGGGTCTGGGTAAGATGGTGGAACCCTTCCTTCCCATGACTTGCTCGGCACCCCAGACCCCAACTTCTGAGCCTTGGGCAGACCGAGGACCAGGGAAGAGAGTCACCCTCTGGGGAAACCCCAGCTCATCACAGCTGCCCTGTCAAGGGCCCCGGAGCCTCTCGCTGGCAAATCCTACCTTGGCCCAGTGAGGCCTGCCCCCAACCTTCTTCATGATGGTCTCATAGGTCAGCCAGTAATCCAGCCGGGGCACGTCCTTGCCGTAGGGCCTGGTGGGGAACAGGAGGTGGTGAGGTCCTGTCCCCGCCCTAAGCATCCCGCCACGGCAACAAGGCACTGTCTTCATGCCATGCCCAGCATGCGGCATGTGGTACGGAGATCAAGCCGGTGGCTCTGCCCTCAGGACTTGGACGTCAGTAATCAAGCAACCTGAGGGTCTTCCTCACTGCTCATCACCTGAGGGATTTCAGAAAGTGTTGCCTCCTCTCACAGGTTTTATAGTTGGCATCTGAAAATTATCCTAAATTCAAATATACATACACACGCCCACATCTTTATGGGGTAACATATAAATATGCCATTTTTTTAAATGCCATGCAGTTTTTCTTTCTTTTTTCCTTTTTTTTTTTTTTTTAAAGATTTTGTTTATTTACTTGACAGAGATCACAGGTAGGCAGGCAGAGAGAGAGAGAGAGAGGAGGAAGCAGTCTCCCTGCTGAGCACAGCACCCGATGCTGGATCCCAGGACCCTGAGATCATGACCTGAGCTGAAGGCAGAGGCTTAACTCCCTGAGCCACCCAGGTGCCCCATCTTTCTTTTCTTTTTTAAAGCTTTCTTTCTTTCTTTAAGATCAAGAGAGAAGAATGTGGGAAAGGCAGAGGGAGAAAGAGAGGAGAGAGATCTCGAGCACACTCGCTGAGCACAGATGAAGCCCTGTGCAGGGCTCGATCTCACAACCCTGAGATCACAACCTGAGCCAGTATCTAGACTGAGACACTTAGCTGACCAAACCATCCAGGCGCCCCTAAATATGCCATCTTTTTGACAAAGCCTAGGAATCTCCAAGTCCCTTCATCTGATGTGTGGAAAGCATGGCCGTTATCACTGGTCGGTCAGTCCTCACGGTCCATCAGCCAAGTCAGACTTACTGGCAGACAAAGTCTCAGTCAAAACTTTTTAAAATTCAAATAAACATGATGCATACCCATGGCAACTTTCTCACTTCTCATCTGCATTCACAAGTAGGGAGAGGAGAGATAGAGGGACAGATAGATAAGCTCTGAGCCTTGCCAGAAGGCTGTCCGTTCGTGAGAGCAGCTGCCTCCTCCCGTTCAATGCATCTTTCGTAAACTCTCTTTTCCGGCTTTTCGGGAAACCTTTCTGAACAGTGCACTCTTTAATTGTCCCTTGGGCATCCTCTAGGTTTGAGGTTTTTACAGGCTGGAGAAATACACCATAGTAAGATTCAAGCTGGGCAAGAGGGATGTTTTTCCTTTGCAAAGTCAGAGGAGGGGAATTATCAGTGAGAGGCGGGAACAAGAGGCAGAAGGAAGATACATTTTGCACAGGACATTTTCGAAGAGATTAACTTCTTAAACCGTGCATGTCCGTAAGCCTTATCCTGGAGACTGCCACATATAACTAACTAGGAAAGAGAAAATGCCGCCATGAGCCTACGTTGTCTGCACAGAGCCTGGAGGGGCTGGTTGGGATGGGCCAATGCAACCGGGCAGGCAGCTTGAATTGAGCATGACCCCCTCTTCCACTTAACCTAAACCTAGCCTCAGAATCCTTCTCAACACAGCGCTCCAGGCTCTCAGAACCACCAACCAGAGTAGGCACACGGCACCCCATGCCTTCACCACAGAGTACTGTCTATCTCATAAGAGGTAGTTATTCATAGTCACATGACCTACTAATTAATATTAATAATGCCATTAACATAATACCATAATTCACATGATTCACTTGCTATAGGTGTAGGAAGCCCAAGGAGAAAGAGAGACTTCTTCCTGCTGCCAGGATCAGAGAAGCCTCCCCAGAGACAGGAGCATCTGAACAGGCCTTCAATTATGAGGAGACGGGTCCTTGCAAAGCATGGGGAGGGGGTGGGAGAGGCTGCCTCGCACAGCCCACCCCAGCCCACTGCTCCCGCTGAGCCGGTCACCTGTACATGATGATGTTCATGTAGCAGCTGTCCCTCTGGAAGCAGGGACTCAGCAGGATGTCATCCCCGCGGGTGAAGCGGACCTCCACAGGGTAGTGGGCCACCATCTTGGGGTGTGCCTCCAGCATGGCCTTGAGTTCCAGCAGGGCCTCCTTGGTCTTCTCTCTGCACTCGGCCGGGGGAGTGGGCATAGACCTCAGGAAGGGGTCTCCTGGAGCCCTCACACAGGGCCCTGCACAGCCCCCCAGCCCGCACCCAGACACAGGAGGGCTCCCAGCGCCGAAGGAGCTCCATGCTGCTGGCTGCTCTCCAAGTCCTTCTCACAGAAGGGGGGGCCTGAGAATGTGCCTCCTGGGGAGCTTCTCTGGCTCCTGGTTCAGCCCCGGACCCCCGCCCAGCTGCGGGCTCCCCTCAGGTTTCTGGAAATAGCTGTCCCACACCCCCGGCCTCTTTCTTTTCTGACAGAGTAAAGTCAGTACGCTTCTAATACATCCACTTGTTCTAATATCCCCCACGGGACAGCAGTGCCCCAGCCCCTGAACAGAGACAGGGGCATCCCCTAAGCTGTGGGCACCATCATTCCCTTTTCCCGGAGAGAGACAGAGAGGGGACCATTCTGAGAGAAAGCTGTAATGAGTTCTGGGGCTATGGACCTAACCTAGGTCCTCACTGGACGTTCCTCCCAAGGCAGAGTACCTGCCCCTGGCATGCTAGGTGGGCTCTGCCCCCCGATGGACAGAATGCAGGGGACAGTCTTTCAGAAAAACAAGCAGCTGGGCAGGAACCCCCACACTCCAAGCCCATATGCTGTGACCCACCTCTGGGCTGGAGAGGGACCAACAGGAGAACAGAGAGGATTCCGTGGCTGATGTCCCCTCAGAGGTAGAACAGCTGGGTACAAGGGTGCCAGAAGGGGACTTGGCCTCTGGAGTTCCCCCTCCTAACAATGGGTAGGACTGGGAACGTGGTTTCTGTGCAGCGAGGACCCAAGGGGGTCTCTTGGACCCTGACCCCCACAGCCCGGCCTGCACAGCCCCTACCTGGGGATGGCCCAGTCCTGGACGTGCTGCTTGAAGCGGCACTCGTAGGTGAAGATCTTGTGGCTGACGTTACTACTCTCCTTCTTCCTGGTGAACAGGAGCCAGAAGAAGAAGCGATTGATCCAGCCCACGAGGCCTGGCAGGAAGGTGCTGGAGGGACAGCGCAGAGGGGCAATGAACAATCATATTACTGGGAAGCCTGGGTGGTTCAGCTGGTAAAGCGTCTGCCATCGGCTCAGGTTATGAACCCGGGGTCTTGGGACTGAGTCCCATGCCAGGCTCCCTGCTCAACAGAAGTCTGCTTCTCCCTCTCCCTGCTGCTCTGCTTGTGCTCCGACAAATAAATAAAATCTTAAAAAAAAAAAAATCATTCTCCAGCATTTAATGAGTCCTGGCAATGTGCTTACAAACCACGGGCTAAGCTCCTTACAAACCTCATTCCCTACAGACTGCTGCTTCACGGTCTCTGCAACTCGGACACCTTCCGGGGGATACAGATGTCACTTCTACATCACCCTCCCAACCCTGCCAGAAGCCCCATGGGAACAGCCCACATGCGTGCCCCCACTCTGCCGCTGAGGACTAGCTTTGTTTTCAGTGTTTGAAGTTTTTTCTTTCTTAATTTTACCATGAATGAAGTTAATTCATTCATGGTAAAAAATACCTAACATAAAATCCACCATCTTAGCCATTTTTAAGTATAAAGTTTAGCCATGTTAAGTATATTCACGTTGTCCTGGAGTGAATCTCTTTAACCCTGCCGAGCTGAAACTCTGGCCCCAGTGAACATCTTCCCATTGCCCCTCCCCCAGCCTCTTTCTGTCTCCAGGAAATGACCCCCTTGGGGTCTCCCAGAAGTACAATCGTACAGTATTTGCCTTCTGGGATTGGCTTCCTTCCCTCAGCCTCTTGTCCTCAAGGTTCATCCATGTTGCTGCCTGCATCAGTGCGTCAGAACTGCCTTCTTTTTAAATAATATACAGCATATTAATAATATGCCATTTTAAGTGAGACTACATTTTGCTTATCCATTCCTCCATCGCACACGTGGGCTGCATCCACCTTTTGGCTAATGTGAATAACGCTGCTACGAACATGGGTGTGCAAAGATCTCTTTGAGTCCCTGCTTTTAATTCTTTTAGATACATACCCAAAGAGGACATAGGCTCTGAGGCTGGCTGCAGGGGCCTGTCCCGTCATCCCGTTCATGAAGCCGCTTCCTTCCCCGCTCGGGCTCCTGTGAGCTGAACTGGCTCTACTCATGTTAGTGGCATAGCTCGTGCCTCTCCTGGAGTCACTTGAGCCTCCTGGTAACAAGGCTTGCCTAGCTTCTCCCTGCTTGCGGGTAGCCTCTGCTTAGAAGCACCCTTACTACACTCCTGTCCCTTGCGGCATCCTTGCTGTCTCATTTCCTGTCAAAAATCCATCCCAGCTGCTCAGAGCACCTCATGGCCGTTACAGATAAACAGTGGATTCACTTAGGTGGGGCACCAGAAACCACTGTGAGAAGGGAGTAAGGTCTACTGCACACCTTTCATGCAGACCCCATGTTGAATCCTCCAAACAACCCAACTGTTGCTAGTGGCTATACTTCATATATAGGTAAACCACAGCTCAGAGAGGCTGAGCGATTTACCCAGAGTCACACAGCAGGAAAATGAAGGAGTGAGGACGAGAGTCCACATCCACTTGAATCCACAGCTCATGCTCCTCTCATGGGCCCAAGCTGCCAAGTTTCCTGGGATTCAGAAAGTGTCCCCAGGTACCTGCTGCAGGGGTAGGGTTGGGGGAGGGTGTCGTCAGTTTCAAGGCAGATGCTCTCTGTTGTCTCTGAGGCCAGGGGCTATGGTGGGGCTCCCCACTGGCTCCTGGCCATGGGGCTATTCTAACCAGAGTTGCTGAGCTTGGTCTTGGCTCTGGCTCACCCTTCAGGGACCTGTTCCCAACAGCCTGCCTTTCTGTCCTGGTCACCTCTGGCCACCAGCCTCACTCCTACAGTGGAACCCCACTGAACTCTTCAAAGACAGGCAGCAAGCTTTTCAGCTGGCAATTTTTTTTTTTTTAAGCCTTTATTTATCCATTTGACAGAGAGAGAGAGAGAGCGCACAAGCAGGGGAAGCAGCAGGCAGTGGGAGCCCGATGCAGGGCTCAATCCCAGGACTCTTGAGATCATCACCCAAGCTGAAGGCAGTCGCCCAACCAACTGAGCCACCCAGGTGCCCCTTTATTTGGCATTTCTTACACAGATATTTAGGAGCCGCCCCCCAGGTGCCAGGCACTGTTTGGGGGCACTGGGGTCTGAGTGTGATGGCAAAGATAAGAGTCCCTGCCCTTGCCAGGACACAGTGAGTTTGGCTGTGAAGCAGTCATTAAACCACCAAGTACCAACTATTAATCCCTTCTTGTTCCCACACCTTCAGGCCACAGCTTAGTGAGCACCAGAGAGTGGCCGGGGTGAGCTGGATGGACGCAGTTTCCAGAAGCAGCTAAACCAGAGCCATGTGGGCTGAACTCAGAGTCTGCCGAGCTCTCACAGAGCATCCACTCGGGCCAGGAAGTGGTAGCAGTGATTTAGAGCCCAATTTATTTGAGTGGTCACTGGGCTCGGGCTCCCCAGACACACACACATAAAGCTGCTGAGAGGCTGTGATGGAAGGTGGAGAGAAAGCCTGAGTCGGCGTTTCCACTCATTCCCATCCATATTGTGCTGGAGCGGTGGCCCCCGTGCGGTCTTCCTCACAGCTCCCTTGCCCTTCCCTGTGCAGACGCAGTGCGTCCTGCTTACATTTCACTCTCCTAACACTTTCCAGGCAGTTAGTCACCCCAGCGTGGGTCCCCTCAGGTGCCACCTGCAGCTCCCTACACCCCGGGGAGGCCAACCCTTCCCCAGATCCCCGGATGGAGACCTACAGAGCCAAAGATCTCAGCCGCGTCCAGGATGCGGCAAGAACTCCAGCTAGTTCTGCATGTCCTGTCATGGGTGCCACCCATGGTGGGTTTCTCTGCCCTTTTGGTAGGGAAAGATTTCTTTTTTTTTTTTAAAGATTTTATTTATTTATTTGACAGAGAGAGATCACAAGTAGACAGAGAGGCAGGCAGAGAGAGAGAGGGAAGCAGGCTCCCCGCTGAGCAGAGAGCCCGATGCGGGACTCGATCCCAGGACCCTGAGATCATGACCTGAGCCGAAGGCAGTGGCTTAACCCACTGAGCCACCCAGGTGCCCAGGGAAAGATTTCTTAACAAGACACAGAAGTCCCCAAGGTGAAAGAAGAGATGGCCAAATTTTACTCAATTAACATTAAATACATCTGCGTGTAAAAAAAAAAAAAAGCCATAAAAGTGAAAGATGACACAAACAGGGAGATGTTGCAACGCAAAAGCTGAGTGCTCAAGATGGACCAATAAAACCCTATGGAACGGTAAGAAAAAAAAAATGCCCACTCAATTTTTAAAAAGGGCAAAAAACATAAATAGGTACTTCACAGGCAAGAAATCCGAAGGGTCCATAAAATGGAAAACTGGGCACTCTTCCTAGTAAGCATGGAAATAAGAATTCAGAACCACAGTAAGCTACTATTTAATACACATCACCTGAAAGTGTAAAAGCCTGACAATTCCAACTTTGAGCCGCTTGTGGAGCACAGAGAATCGGACAGGGCTCTGCGAGGAGACATGGGGACGGCAACTGGATGCACAAGGCTGAAGCTACTTGCGCTCAATGGCTCAGAAATTGCACTCATTAAGTGTTCCACTCATGACAAACTCTACTCAAGACAAAAATAAAAAAGCACCAGGAGCAGCAGTTGAGAATGCTCACAGCAATGTTGTTTGTAACGGGGAAAAAAAAAAAAATCCTAGAAACAACCCAAATATCCAAGTATGGATAAACACAACATGGTAAATGCCTCCAGTGAAAAATGAGTATTTCCAGCTATCCATATCAACATGGGTCATTCTCACTATGGAAGCTGAATTACAGATATATTACTTTGGGATTCATAAAACTAAAGTATAAACAAAAGTAAGGGAATGATAAGCATAAAGTTCAGGGTGGTGGTTACTTCTTGGTAACCCCTTGGAGGCTGTGATCTGGGACTTCACGAAGACCACGCCAATTGTACGCATCTTGTTTCATTTCTTAAGCTGCTGGTAAGCCCATGGGTGCTTATTACATGATTCTTTATACTTTTGTTTTCTGTATTATTTTGCATGTATAAAATATTTTTTAAAAATTATATGATGCCATCCCATGTCTTGGCTGGATACAGAGTTACCACTGAAGTCCCCATAAAACCTTCCCCATCACTCAGCATTCCATGTCTGCCATGAACAGGCACAGCATGGGCCCCGAGCATGAGCACAGCTTTTATTTTATTTTATTTTATTTTATTTTATTTTATTATTTTTTTAAAGATTTATTTATCTGACACAGACAGACACAGTGAGAGAGGGAACTCAAGCAGGGGGAGTGGGAGAGGGAGAAGCAGGCTTCCCACCAAGCAGGGAGCCCAATGCGGGGCTCAAACACAGGACCCTGGGATCATTACCCAAGCCGAAGGCAGACGTCTAATTACATAGCCACCCAGGCACCCCATGAGCACAGATTTTAGGCTGGGAAGGAGGTAGAAAACAGGACGAGAGAAGATTTACATCATCGGGCATTGGTATTTTTTAAAAGCTCCCCAGGTAATTTGAATGTACACGCACGGTTGAAAATCACTGCTCTAGACCTAGGACACACACCCAATTTACATGCATAAAGGCCAGTGTGTTGTTCTGATGGACCACATCCTCAACAGCATACAGCATATGCCGGAAAAAGGTACCCTTGCATTCCTACCTGACCCAGAGCAGGAACTCCAATAAATAGAATCCGATGGCGTAGTCCCAAAACCAGTTGGCGCAGGAGGAGGGGGGCTGGGAAGAAGAATCTGTGATCAGTACAGGGGCAGATCTCAGCTGCTCTCCTACATATATGTATACATATACATATCCTTAAATTTTAGTTAGTTAACATACAGTGTAATATTGGTTTCTGTAGAATTCAGTGGCTGCTTTCTGACCTATGCATCACAGTGTCCCCTTCGAGAGATATGTGCCCCAGGAGTAGCTGCCTGTGTGTGTTTGGGGGTGACCAACCTACCTACCAGTACAACTGAAAGCCTTCTTTCAGTTCACTTCTTGGTGATGCAGTCAAATCTCATGCCCCTTTCATGTCACGTGTATTCATGTATTTCTGTATGTATTTATTCTGCACAAGACAAAGATGTGCATCAGTCCCTCCTCTTCCGAGCCCATGAGGCAGGTATCTAGCGATCATCCTTTATGAGCCCCATGCCAGCCCCTAACACACAATGAGTGTCACTGCTTTTGTTTGATCTCCCCCCTGAACATTCATCCTAAGGGATGGCTTCGTGTTCTGCTGAGAAGCAGCCCATTTGCTAAGGACATGGGGGAGAGACAAAACCACTGATTCCTTCACCTGTCCAGTTGGGGGTGGCAAAGATGGGGGTGTTGGAAGGAAGGTGGGGGTGTATTAGATGGTTTGTCCAGGTATAGCCCAGCTGCCTTGTACCCTATGTTATCCTAGCCTGTCCTGCCAATACTTCTGCTCCCCTTTCCCACATCTAGGCTGTCCCTTGCTCTCACTCCCACACATCCCTACCTGTGGTCACCTTGGACCCTTACTGGGCCAACTCTCCTTCCTTCTTCCACCCTGCTTCTGCCCTCACATTCAGTGATGCTCACTCTTGCTTTCCCTCTCACACCTCACTGATCATCGGGACAAAGACAAATGTCAGCCACCCTGGGGACTGCAGGCTATGTGTAAAGATGGGGATGATGCTGTTGCTACCTTATTGGTGTGGTCCTGGTAGATGACGCTGACATTCTCGCTGTGCGGGAACCAGAGGAAGCGAAAGTATTCGGATTTCTTGAGGTGGCTGTCCAAGTTGTTAAGAACCTGACCCCCACAGGAGGAGAAAGGAAGACTGTGTTGGTTATAGGATGATGGTGGGGGAAGTACTGGGAGTCAGGGCCTGGGGGTGCATCAGATTCTCCCCACCAAGGAAAATACTTACAATTGTCCTAACAATGCCAAATGACATGAAATGTGCCTTGTAATATGCTGGACATGAAGATGGTCCTTTTTGCATGTTGACTTCCTCAAGTAGCTCAGAGGAAAGAAATGATTTGTCTTGGCTGGAACAGTTCTTAGCTATGTGAGTTTGGGCAAGGCATGTAACATGCCTGTGCCTCAGGCTCCTTATCTATAAAATGGGACTAATCACAATACCCATGTCAGGACTGGTATGAATGCCTAGAGAGTGCTTACCATGGTGTCACAGACATGGTAAGCGCTGGACAGGTATAAGCTGCTGCTGTTGCTACCCTCACACTGTCATCACTGCCATCATCATCCTTGTCATCATCATCCTTTATCCCCATAATGCCTGATGAACAGAAGAATCTTGCTCTAATATGACTCATCACTGCACTCTTGGAGATGACATCACAGAGCAAATCATGTCTCCCTAAAACCCAACAAGCAGATATAGGACAATTTCTGAGACTGGGGTAGACAGACTGGGGGTTGACAGGGAGCTGGGAGGTTGAGAAAAAGCACCATTGGTCTTGGAGTAAGTTCTGATTGGAGCCCTGGTCTGCAGCTTACCGGCTGTATGACCTTGGAGGAGCCGTGTACCCTGAGCTTTGGCTTTCCCATCCATAACATGTGAGCATTTGTGCAATGAAATGACATAATCTACATCAAATCTCTTAAGTTCAGTGACTGTCCTGTGGGATGTGCCCAACAGTCTGGTTCTGGATCTGATCAATGCTAGCACACACACACATCAATAAACCAGTGCTAATCCCCCAAAAGTCCCTAGCTGGGACTTCCAGAAAGCCCTCTGAGTGCTCTGGGTAGCATCTCTCTATCTGTAGAATGATGACAGTGGTATCTTTCCTTCCTTCCTTCTAGGGCTATTGTGAGGATCAGGGGAGATCATGGATTTAAAAGTATTTTATAGGGACACCTGGGTGGCTCAGTCGTGAAATGTCTTCCTTCGGCTCAGGTCTTAATTCCAGGGTCCTGAGATCGAGTTCCCCATCAGGCTCCGAGCAGGGAGCCTGCTTCTTCCTCTTCCTGCTGTTCTCCCTCTTCCTGCTGTTCTCCCTGTTTGCACTTGCTCTGTTGTTCCCTCTCGCTCTCTGACAAATAAATACATAAAATCTTTTAAAAAATAAAAATACTTTATAAGCTGTAAACTCAACACATGAGAGAGGGAGGACAGAGTGTCAGGAAAAACAGGGAAAAAAAAAAAAAGCTTACTGCCCAAACACATTGTGGGGAATTTGGTACCCAACATAGACAAATGACTGGATCCAATCATGGGTCAATCCAGTGTCTAAAGAGGTTGGTGAGCTTGAGGAAGGATGGCCACATCTGATCAGGAAGAAAGGTGAAGTCAAGATGAAGCACTGAGATGAACCCATCTAGAACTTGAGTTTGGAGTGTCTGAGAGCAGTGGAGCTTTGGAATTCTGGCTCTTTGTCATGATTGTCAGGGAGACCCCCTGACTTGCTAGCCAGTGCATGGTACAGCCAGAGAGACAAGGATGGGTTGGATGATTGCTGCATTCAAGTGATGTGGCTGTCATCCTAACCCTCCCCCACCCCACCCTGGCTCCAATCTGTTGGTCCCTTGTTGTATTTCTGCAAATGTCTCCCTAGCCTTCTCCTGTGACCCACTGCTGCTGCTGTGATGTAGTCCAAGCCCTTCTTAGCTATCACCCATACTCTTTCTTTTTTTAAGATTTTATTTATTTGATATAGAGAGAGATCACAAGTAGGCAGAGAGGCAGGCAGATAGAGAGGGGGAAGCAGGCTCCCTGCTGAGCAGAGAGCCTGATGCGGGGCTCCATCCCAGGACCCTGAGGTCGTGACCTGAGCTGAAGGCAGAGGCTTAACCCACTGAGCCACCCAGGCGCCCCCGTCACCCATCCTCTTGCACAGCCTCATACTAGCCCCCCTTTCTCATCTCTCCAGACAACATCTACAGAGAACATACAAAGCACAGCTCAGAAATCCCCAGCAGCTCTCTATTTCCTACAGAATAAAGCCCACAAAACTTCGTTCAGCAGCCATGACCTCCGTCCACAAATACTGTCTGATACAATGACCACTGGCCCCACGTGGCCACTGAGCCCTGAAAAGTAACGTATCTGAATGGAGATGTATGTATATGATTCAAATGCTCCTCATAAAGCCATTTCCTCCCATTCTAAGTGGCTTCTACATACACTGCATTCATCTTAGAACTAGATTGTCATTACTGAAGCATCCCTCTCTCTCTGAAACTGAGCAGCATTCTCTTCCAGGTCAGGGACTGTTTCACCCAGCTTTGACTCCCCCTGCTAGAGCACAGATAAGTACAATTTTTGTAAAGAACCAGATAGGACATATTTCAGGCTTTGGGGGCCATATGGTCTCTGTTTCAACTACTGAACTCTGCTGTGGTAGTGTGAAAGCCATTAAAGACAATACATTGACAATGGGCGTGGTTGTGTGCCAATAAAAGTTTATTTACAAAAGCAGTGAGACAGATTTTGCCTGCAGGCTGTACCTTCTCAACCCCTTGCCTTAGAGCTGCTGGCACAATGCCTTGCACAGAAAATGCTGGAGTATCCTATCACTCCTTGTTGGAAGAGGAAGGACTTTCCTGCTGTGCTGAAGGCCCAGGAGAAGTTCAGGATGAAATCCCAGGGCCTCTGTCTCTATCACTTCCACCCTGATAGGGTGATGGACCCATGGTCCACAGGATTCATGTGGGGAGCCTCTGTGCAGAGCTAATTTTTCCCCTGGGAGAGCCAGGAACACAGCCTGTTGGCTTGGCCTGGAGGATGGGGCGGGACACTGGGCAGGAGAAAACCACCTCATCTCCTCCTTGTTGTCATCCCAGGCCATCCCCCTCTATTGCCCAGAATCCCAACTGTAAATGTAATAATGACACCCTTCTCAGCTCTGGTGCCAGAATCCAGCTTCCTACACAGAATGGAGTGATGAGACTCAGGGCCCTCATTCCATTTTGTGCCTCTCTCCTGACACCAGCCATTTGTTTTCCTCCTTGCATGAGAGAAACAAGGTATATATTCCCCAGTCCAACACACAATTATAAGCTTCTAGAGGCATGAACCATGCATAATGAAGCTCTGGACTCTCCGTGTCCCCCAACTGAGCACCAAGAGGCTGCTGAACGGTGGTGGAACAGTGACACCCCCGCCCTTGCCAAACACACACACACTGTAAATTAACGTCTCTCCTTCAGGACCCACAAACCATCCTATCTGGAGGAAGATGGTCCCTAGGATCATGGACTTCCTTGATCTGACTTGGGTCTCCTGGGAGCACTACCACAACAATTTGGGTCCCAGAGGACTCTCCCCCTTGGCACATTACAGGCATGAAGGGTTCTAGCAGATTCTGTCCCCCACAGATTTTGATGTTGTGGCACTGCTGAGCTGGATTTTGAGAACTGGCTATCAGGCTTGGGAGCAGAGGGCTCCAAGTTGATGGGTGTGTGTTGGGGTGGTAGGTTACTCAGCCTCAGCAAAGTGGCTGGCATCTGGACAGGTTGGTGACACACTAAAACCAATCCTGCTTCCTGGGGCCCTACAGGAGCGGTGACGAGGCAGCCAGCTGTCATCATCACATCTCATTATGCTTTGGGTGGCATAAAGGGCAAAAAGGTTGACAACAATTTCTAAGATCTTCATGCCTTCTGAAGATGGGAGCAGATGAGGAAAATCCCAGGAAGGATGGATTTTTAATAAACTGCTGATCAACTGACCTTGAATTACCTTGCATTGAGCACTGCCTTGTATTTTGTGGGTGCTGGGGAGTAAGAAGCCTCAGATAAAATCCCTGCCTCCAGAAACAAGTCACCAAGCAGCCAAAGGGAAGGGGGAACATTTCAAGAAGTGGTGACGATGTCCAGGAGCAAAACGGGTGACCAGCACCCCTAGCCTGGAAAGTACAGCCTTTGACTTGGATTTTGGGATCCACACACAGCAGATGTTTCTAGCAATGTTCTCTGTGAGTAAAGTCAGAGAGAGGAGGCACTGGGGGTTCCTCTCTCTGAGGCTCTAAAGGAAAGGGCAGAGGGTTCACCTGTTGTGTTTCCTTGAGTCCTGACAACATCTCACAGGGACAGTGGAGCTCTAGAGACTCCTCTAGACTCACACAGTGTCAGCAAAGACACGGGGCTTCAAACCTGGTAGTCTGACTTGGAGAGGCATTTCCAAGCTCTTCACCACACCCCTCATGATGGGTCTATTTGGGCTCTTCCAAAGTTCAAGGCTAGAAGACCCACAGTAGGTATTTTATAGACACGTGCTGGGTGGAAGGCAGGAAAGAGGAGAAAAGGGAAGGAAAGACATAATAAGGGAAGGAAAAATGGCGGAGCAGCTAGTGTTCAAACTTAACTTTATGTACAAGAAGCGACTATTCTCCTTTGTCCTGGTTTCCTGCCCTCCTACTGCTCAAATGCTCCTCCTGTACCCAGGACGAGTCAACCTGGAGGGCTTGGCCATCAGGGACAAGCCCATGGTCAGAGGACATGCGCTGCGGAGCTGCGCACATCTTAGAGCCGCCAACACAGAGCAGCAGCTTGCCACCCCCCACGGAGGAGGGAGTTTCCTGGCAACCTAAATGGCCAAAAACAAGGAGTAGTTACCAATGCCAGAACAGGAGGGTGCCCTGTCTTCCTGTTGGTTCTCAAAAACGCAGGCCTCGTGAAGGTTAAGTTCACGAGGTTAGTTTTCCTTTTAGATGAGAGGGAAAACATCCCAGGCTGAGCAAGGGGGAGAAGTTGTTCTAATGACCATTTTCTGATCCTTTCCTTTGCTTCCAAGGGTTTGTTTCCTTTGAGGGGAGCAAGGTCTGTGTTGTGTTAGCTCCTTTCCCTAAGCATTCAAAGCCTCTCGAAGGTGCCCTTTAAAGGTTGATTTGAGTGGAGAGAGCAAAAGCAAATTAAATATGGGGCCATCTATTGCACAGCCCCCTTGGAATAAATCACAGGGCTGCAGATGCTGCTGACCTTCTGCGGCAGTCCTTGTTTCTGCCTGTGCGAGTGTGGGGAGGGCTGTGGGAGGATTCCACGGAAGCTGATGAGAGCCTCTCAGGGAGGAAGGCCAGCTCTGCATCAGTGCTGGGGGAGAGCAGCAGTCACTGGCTCACAGAAAGGGGGAGATCCACAGAGTGCTTGCTGTCTCACAGAATCCTACTCCATGAGCCCCCTTGGGGTGAGCTGGGGTCTATGTGGGAGCCGTGGGGGGAATGTTCCTTATAGGGCTCATGCCTCTCCTCAGGGGCAGGGTCCAGGCACTTCACCAGATGCTCCAAAGGAGAGAAACAGTAATGCCAGAAGTGACTCTTGCCTCCAGGGTGTGGCGAGCAGGTGAGGGGACAGCTTCGAATCCAAGTGCTGCTCTGACAGAATGTCAGAGCTGAGAAAGCTCTTAGGGGCCATCTGCTCTGACTCTGCTTTTAAAAGGTAAAGAAACTGGGGAGCCCAAATGTGAGGGATTTGCTCAATCAGGGCCAGACTCGGGGGGCTCTGCCTCCCTCCCTGGAGACCTTTCATTACATCCTGTTGAGCGTTTATTGGCGTGTGACTGTGGGGGGGGGCGGGGGGCTACTTTGTCTTTTAGGAGAGGAGATCTCCACTGCTATTTCTCATGTGTCATCACAACCTTTCAAAATCAAAGAAGTCAGGGGGCGCCTGGGTAGCTCAGTCAGTTCTAAGCGTCTGCCTTCGGCTGGGGTCATGGGTTCGAGCTCCACATCAGGCTCTGTGCTCAGCAGGGAGCCTACTTCTCCCTCCCCCTCTGCCTGCCACTCTCCCTGTTTGTGCTCTCTCTCTCTGTCAAATAAATAAATAAAATCTTTTTAAAGAAAACTAAAGAAGTTGGAAGCTATGAGAACATAGCCCATTGCCTAGAGTCACTTAGAATTTTCGAGGATGTCATGTCTAAGTTAGAAGTCTCCACGTTGAGGTAAGTTGGAGACAAAAAAATCCTTGAGCTCTGGATAGACACGGAGGCCAGCCTGTGTGTCTGTGTGTGTGTGCGTGCGTGCATGCACATGCATGTGCACACACATGTGTGAGTGTGCTGGGGTACAGTAGAGGCCTGAGCTCAGGCTCCCCTAGAATCAGGACTTGGCTATAATTACTATTAGTCGATCTCAGCTGGGTCAGGGGAGGAGCAGAAAGTGAACAGACCAGGTACCAGGAGACTGTCCATCCACTCAGCTGTAATACCCTAGCAGGAACCGGGGCTGGTCCTACTGGCAAAAAGCAGCCATTTTTTAAAAATCTCCAGGTCAAAACCTTCAGCTTAAAGTAACAAGTGGTGACCTATGTGAGAGGCAGGAAAACAGATTCAACTATCAAGCACATGACAGCCCCTTCTTGCCTGAAAGTGGTCTGTGCTGCACTTCCATCCCTTAACCTGCCCTGTGCTCCACTGAAACCATCTCCAAGGTCAGCTACAACCTCCTCATGACCACACCGGTTAACACTCCAATTCCCCATGGAAATGCACCCCGTTGCCAGCTCCGTCCCAGACTCCTGGCATCCCCTGCCCTTGTAACCAACCTCTCCTCATTGGCTTCATTCCTCTATAACCCATTCTCCTTGGCCTCCTTCCTGACACCCTTCCCATCTTCTTTCCACTCCCTTCACACCCAAACCCACCCTCTCTGGGTGATCTTGCCTATCCTGTGACCACCTAGGGCGTGGACGACCCCTACTTTGGCCTGAACTGTACACATTCCACATTCATATATCAAAATCCTAACCCCCAGGACCTCGTAATAGGACTGTATTTGGAGACAGGGACTTTAAAGAAGCAATTAAGGTTAAATGAGGTCATTGCGTGGGCCCCAGTCCAACTTGGCTAACGCCCTTGTAAGAAGAGAGTACGACACAGATACACACAGACAGGATACCCCATGTGAGGACATGCAAGAAGACAGCCGTCTAGAAGCCAAGGGGAGAGTGCTCACGAGGAACCAACTCTGTAGACATCTTGGTCCCGTCCATGCTATTTGTTACCACAGCCCCAGCAGACTAACACAACCTCTCAATCTCTACCCCGAGCCTCTGCCTCCTGCCCGAGTTCCAGTACCAGCTGCCTTCCAATACCTCCATGTGAGGCACCTCAAACCCGAGTTCCCAGGCTAAACTCATCATCTCGCTCCCCACACCTGCTGTGCCTCCTGGATTCTCCACCTCCATGGGAGCGCTCTTCCTGCCTCCCGCTTCTGACTCCCTCGACTCCATACTCAGCTGCTAAGTCCTACTGGTTCCTCATTTCAAGTATCTCTTGAACTTGTGCCGTAAAGAAAGTGGGCTTGTCTCTATATTTCAGCCCCTTGAGTACCTCTCCAGTCTAATGCCCACTCTACCTCATTCTCTCCCACATCTCCCTCCCAGCTCTGACTCTGGTCAGAGCTCTCTCTGCTAGACTCCCTTGGGACTTGGCGGTTGTTATGAACTATTTCCTTGGCTCCTGGCTGGGCCATCTGCACTGGTTATGGTCTCCAGTGTCAAGTCCCAGAGCAGGTTGCTTAGTCTGTTGGTTTGCTGAGGAGAAGGGGATACCCAGGCTTCCCAGCTAAAGCCTGAGAGGAAGGCAGGGGTTGTATCTCAGTGGGGGTCCCTGCCACATCTTGCCCCATGACCAGGATGGAGGGGTCACCCCCGTAAGAATTAGAGAAGGGAAAGCCTGAGAATTCTAGAGACACGAGGGCTAAAGGGAAAATCGATCCTTGCAGCAGGTGGTTGGAATGTTATTCTGTGGTCTCAGGAATTACCCTAGAGTTTCAAATGCTGACCCCACAGGAGGCCTCAGTCAACATGCCTGGCACTGAACAGAATGTAAGATGCTTTCTGAACCCCACTTGGGGTCAACAGGGGTCTAGACTTGCCCTCTAGCACTGGTGGAGAAGATTGTAGCTGGCTGAGCCAGGCCTAGGTGGCCCCAAAGGACTCCGAGTCTGGGCTGCTTCCAGCCATACCCTTGTGGGCCTCCCTGGTTTAGCCACACCTTGTCCCTGCCAGACAGTTCCATGAAATGTCCTTGTCCCAAAACAGTCCTACTTTCTTAGGCCAATGCTCAGGCAGTTCATTTGCCAATTATTTTCCCATCAGACTCAGTACTGGTACTCCAGGGATCAACGCCGCCTCCCATCATAGCTGTGCAATCTCTTTCTTACCACCAACTGGGAGATCTGGGGATCTATTTCCACCAAACACCATACCTCTGAGTAAGGGGGCCTTCCAAATGTAGGGCTTTGCCCTGTAGCTTCATGCATTAAAAATTCTGAGGTAAGGATTTTAGACCTGGTTCTAAATAACTGTATTCTTCTTTTATCACTGACTAGGTACCACTGCGGACATATTTTAATACTGAATTAGATAATTGATGTGTGTTACCTGATATAATCCTCATATTCAATCCTTTAAGGTAGATATTACCAACTTTCTTTTTGGATGAGGAAACTAGGGCTTAGTAAGTTTAAATGACAGGCTCAAGGTCACAGCTTAGAAATGGCAGAGCCAGCATTCAAGGCCAGGTCAACTGGATAGCCAATCCCACCTTACCCATGTTGGGTCAGTAATGCTTACATCATTCACTATTTCAACTGTGCAGAGGGTCTACTCGTATTGAATGATGAGGTGACCACGGAGGCGCTCGAAGACCAAGGACCTTGGAACCATAGATTTGACTCCCATAGACTTAGTGATTACCAGGCATTTCAGGGCTGTTGCCTGCTACCCATCCATGTGTCCATCCATGCATCTGTGTATTCATGAAACCAATTATCCATCCATCCATCCATCCATCCAACCATCCATCCATCCATCCACGTATCTATCCGTATGTCTCTGCAACTGTTAACCCATGCACCCAGCTGTCCATCCATCCATGTATCTGTCCATGCATCGATCCATCTCTCCAGTCAGTCAGCCAGGCAACGTGCTTTATGTTCATTCCCAAAACATCACTATTAGTCAGAAGTCATCCTTTCCACCCTCCATCATCTAGATCCACATTCCTTGTGTGTTACCTTGGGCAGCCAGCCCAATGCAAAGTTAGCCCACCCGCTTGGCTGTGAAGCCATTGTAAAGGGAATCCTGGGCACCTGCTATAGCTCAGTGCAGTCGAGAGTTAATGCCTTCCCAGAGCACCCAACCTCCCTTCTCACCCAGATGTCTGCCAACCCCAGGCAGTTCCTCTGAGCTTCACTGACCTGCTCAGAAAGGGACATGGCCACAGTATCCTTGGGGCAAGGAAGAGCTAGAAAGGTCAGCCCACTCCCCTATTCAGGGGGCCTGCAGAGCCCCCCGGGGCCGTCAGTGGAGCATGACCTACCCGTCAGCATCCTCCCTTTATTTTCTGAGGTTGAGCAGGGGCGAGGAAGATGCCAGTACCTCTTCCAGGGTGGAGGGGAAGGAGACCTCCTGCAAGTGGAACTGGGGAACACACTGCAGGGTGACGGTGAGGATCACTCCCAGACAGCCCAGGTGCACCCGCGCCGCCTGGAACACCTCTGCGTTGCTGGACTCGGAGCACTCCAGAATGGTCCCGTCGGCCGTCAGCAGGGTCAGCGCCACCACCTAGCCGTGAAGAGCGGTGCTTCAGAACCCCGGTGGCACTTCCCTTAGACCCCAGCTGAGGCCTTCCCTGCCCTGTATGTCCTGGGAAGCCAGGAGGGGAGGTGTCTATCCCCAGAAGATCAATGCCACCTGGCCACAGGGCAATGGGGAACCGGAGGCTCTGTCCAGCAGCATCAGCCCCTGCGCTCTTACCCCCAGTGCCCATTTCCAGAGGAATCCTCTTTTCTCACCGGTTTAAGTACTTCTCCACACCCTGCTACCTGCTAATTCGGATGGAAACTGCTTTTGACACGTGTAGTTGGCGGCTGGGGGCTCGAGGTGAGAGAACGGACAAAGCTGAACTAATTCCCACGAACAGCGACCAATTCCAGAGGGGAGAAATTGGCAGAAACGGGGCACGATGGCCATCTGTAGGAGTGAGGGCATCAGAACCATTTTTGTAGAAACCAGATTTTGTCCATGCTCCAGAGCTGTGAGTAAGAACTGGCCAGTGAAACCCCTCAGCAGGGTCCAGCCACAGATAAAGGTAGGCACTTCTTTACTAGCTGTGTGACCTTGGGCATGTTATCCAACCCCTGTTTCCTCATCTGCAAAATGAGGGCAGTAACGTCTCAGAGACAGTGTGTGCCATATCCAGCTGAGTGTCCGCTGTACAGTGGATGCTGAAATGTCAATCCCCTCCCCTCGTTCCTGGCCCCTGGCATAATATAAAACAGCAGGCCTCTCCCGCTCCTTTCCAGCTGAGCTCCCTAAGGAAAGGGGGTAGGAAATCTGCGCATTTTGATTTGTGGTCACCCAGAATTATTTCATACTCTGCTGAACATTCCCCCCCGAGCTTGGAGAGGGTCGTGGAATGTCCACAGAGGGCTCCGAGTGCCAGAGGATCAGGTCCCACAAAGACTTTTTTTTGCTGCGGCAGCTCTTGCCTCAAGCGCGATGAACACAGGTGCCCTTGGTTGGTTTCCCCTTTCCTGGCTCACGCCAGGACACCCTTTACCTGCCGGGGGATTCTGTGGGGCTTTGTGGTAGAAAGAGGGAAGGGAGAAGGACAAGAGCAACCAGAGTCTGTGCACAATGCTGATGAGAAAGCAAAGTTTTAAGGCCAAGTGTGAACTAGGTTTCCCATGTGGTATACAAGAAAACAAATATATATTAAAAAAAAAAAGAAAAAGAATCTCTTAGAAATTGCTTTTGGGCTATTTTCCTTTGATCTCAGAGCTGCTCTGAGACCAGAGCACATGGGATCCAGTCCCCAGAAGTCACACGGAGACAATGCTTACTGGGGCATCTGCTTACCTCAGGAGAGAGCCACACACCTGGGTAGTTGACTAGGGGTCACTTAAGTGACCCCTGTGGTCCAATCCCCAGCCATCCTGAAATTGCTTTTACAGCACAGAGTGGGAGCTTCAGAAAGGCCCCCATCTTACAAGCAAAACTCATCACGAATGTTTATTGAGCACTAACTGTGTATGCTCTTTTAAGTACCCCGGATGCATTGCAGTTGTGACCACCCCCATTTTCCAAGTGAGCAAACCAAGGAGGCCAGAGGTAGAGACAGCGATCTCTCCCGGCCCCGAGTGAGCGGCCAGCCTCCCCGGGCGCACAGCCGGGCCTGTCAGGAAGCCCCTCTAACAGGCAGCTCCCAACACAGAAATCACACATTGTCCTCGGCTCAGCCATGTAGGTTAACATAAGCTACCTCCTTTGGTCCCCCTGGCTTCTCTCTGAATTACAGAAGAAAACACGGAGGTCCGGAGAATTTAAAGAAGTTGCCTACAGGCGCACACCTCCTGTATGTGGGAGGCAGCTTTTGAACCCAGATCTGAGTCCCGAGTCTGGTTGGTAACCAGTTCCCCAGACCGGTCTCTCCTGAAGTTTAAGAAATGCTTTTCAATGGCCATCAGGGGCAGATCTGGGCCCACACCTGCTGGACTCCACTCCAGGTGGCCCCCGCTCCGGTCCTGGCCCTTCCCCTCCCTTGCTAACCTCGGAAGACCTCTTGCTCTTAGAGGGGATGGAAGCTCTCGCTCTACTTGCCCTTTTCCACAGGGTGGCCCGGACACTCCTGAGAGGCAGGGGTGTCTCATCACTTGTTATCTATTGCAGACAAACGAGGCTTAAAGGAGAGAGAGTGGGTGGAGGGCACCTGCCAGAGGGAGGGAGCTGGGCTGGCTGAGACCCACGTGGAATTGAGCCGACACTGCCCGCAGAGCCCCTGATTTCCTGGGGCTGCCTGGAAGAGGTGTTCATCCATCCCCCACCCCATGGCCATCAGTGGCAGTCAGTGGAGCAGCCAAGTCGGGGGACTCACCTGGGTGGCCAGGATGCCATGTTTGATCCCAGTGTTGTGCGTTCCAGACCCAATGACGCCCCCTGCGGTCACATCTGACACAGCTCCCAGGCTGAGCTCAACAGGAGGGAGTGAAAGGGACAGAAGGGACTGGTGGTTAGGATTTCCTGGGACCATACCCTCTCCCTCCTCTGGGCTGCAGGACGAGGCCCCTTAGAGGAGAATAATAAATTCATCTCTTGTCTACGCTCTGGCCCTAAATGTACCGTGACTTAGTTTGTCTGACTCGGTGGCCCTTCCCTTCTCTGAGCCTCTGCCTCCTTGTCTCAGGGGCCTGTCAGTTAAGCTGGTGGGGGCACGGTCCAGCTCTGAGGTGGCCTGGCTGCCCAGTTCTGGGGTTTCTGCAGTGTGGGACCATCCCTTTCCACGGGCCCCATCTGCCAACAGTATCTTCTCCACCAATCAAAGGCCCAAACGCTCCTGCGAACAGCTCTAGCCCCAGCCAGTCAAGGCCTGTGGAGTCCCTGAGGGAGTGACCTGGTTCCAACGGCTCACACAGGTGTCCCAGGAAGGTATGAGGAGGCAGGAGCTTCCCTGAACCCACAGGAGAGGAGGAGGAGGAGCTGCTGGTCACCCTTTGCGGCCCCCAGGACGAGCCCAGGTCTCAGCCCAGAGTCCTGGGCCCTGGAAGGAACACTGACAGCACTGCATGTGAACCCCAGGGACGGGAGTCCTGAGGGGGAGCAGGAGCCCTCTAGAGGCACTCTCTGGGAGCAGGAATTAGGAGGATGTGCCCAGAACTCAGGGAAAGTGTGCTCAAAAATCCTACTTCTTAAGAGCGTCCTCTGAGACATCCCAGCTGCAGCTTAAAGGAGAAGAAAACCAGTGTTTATTTTACTAAAGGCCCCCGGGTGCCGCTGCGGCGGGGAGCAGTGTGTGCTACCCAGCATCATCACGACAGCGCAGCCCACATGAGAAATGGGCTCAGCGGCTGAAGCCATGTGCCCACCACTTCACGCACCCGGGCTCCCCGAACACACCGAGGGTCTCTGAGGCAGGTGGGCCCTGACTCCCAGAGGCACTGCAGGACACCTTCAGTGAAGGCAGTGATTAGGACGGCCAGCCTCAGACCTTCCTGTAGAGGCGGTGAGACCTGGGGGGCTGTCCTGGCAGAACAGGGAGAGGACGAAGAAACCCAAGCTTCTCCAGCCTCCCCTTACTCATCCCCATTACCACGTTTGTCTCTAGTCTTGTCTCTCTGTCCACATGAACTGGTTTACTTCTGAAAATACCAAAATAGATTTTTTTTTTTAAAATAAAGATTCTATTTACTTATCTGAGAGAGACAGACAGAGTAGGAACAGGGGGCAGTGGGGGAGGGTCAGAGGCCGAGAGAGAAGCAGACTGAGCCGAGGGCTTGATAAGGGAGTAAATCCCAGGACCCTGAGATCGTGACCTAAGGCAAAGGTAGACTCTTAACAGACTGAGCCACCTAGGCATCCGGAAAATACCAGAATGTTGAAAGAGGATCATGGAATCCTGCGCTCAGGAAATCCTCCAACGTGAGGAAAGGCATAGCACAAAGACGTTCATCGCAGCCCTACGTAGAATCGTGACCACCTGAGAAGGACCTCAGCGCCCACAAAGGGGTGGTTCATGGAATTCAATGTGTCTCGTCTTCTCCATGTAGCCTACCAGACTAAAAAGCAGTATGGAAATGGGCCTGTGACCACTGTGTTCAAAGAAGTAAACTGGATTACAGTGAGGCCCTGAGGGAGAGGGGTCAAGGAAGGAAGGGTCAGACTAGCCTCCGGGAGGCTCGAGAGCACACAGCCAGAGGAAAGATCATCTCAGGACCTGCGGATCGAGGCACCGGCAGAGCCAGAAGGTCAGTGAGCACAGATTTTACTGAGCCGTTACGTGGGCCGTCTTTAACTCATCCAGGTCTCTGAGCGCCCTGTTTTCAGACCCATTTTCTACGCCTGAGGCCCAGACGGGTCAAGGAGCTTGACTGACAGGGAACAGCAACAATTGTACCCAGGCCCTCTGCTTCTGAAGCTGGGGTCTACACCAAGCTGCTGTCATGCCTCCTCCAGTCCACCACATGGGGGAATATTCCAGAATTTTCCAGGTATGTGACTTCGGTAAGCCACTTCGCCTCAGACCCCGGTTTCTTCCTCTGGAACTAGGCTTCTATTCCTCACCTGTCAAGCACCCAGCGTAGGGTCTGACCCAGCTCTGTTCTTCTCTTCAGCCCCCCAGCCAGATACTCCTGGAGTCCCCACAGCATTCTTAGAGCTGTCTACCCAGGCTCCTGTGCGATACACAGGGTAAGACTCCTGACTCTGAGTGGCAGAAGGGCCCCAGGCAGGCATCCACTTGAGGAGGATTGGGTCCCCAGAGGGGAAGAGAGACAGACCATGAACAAGCCTCAGAGTCCAGAAGCTAATGCCCATCATGACTAGAATATGACTCCTCCTGTCATCACTGGTCACAGATTCTGTCCCACTATCTGCTCAGGGCGCCTGTGTGGCCCCACCCCCCCACCCCCACTTCCAGGACTTTTGCTTGTGCTGTTTTCTCTGCCTAAATCCCCTCTTTCCTCTTTTTTTTCTGATTTATACCTGGTTACCTTTTAGGACTCAGTCCAGGGGCCCCTTCTGCAGGCCCCCTGATTCCTATCCCCTCATATGTTCCTCTGCCTGCCAAGGCTGAGAGCCCCACAGTGCCCCCAGACACTTCTCTGACTTGAACCCACTGTCTTGCATTATGCTTATCATTTTGGGTGTTGGTCTGTCCCTTGACAGGAGTTCCTTGGGTGTACTCATCTTTGCCTCTTAAGGGCCTGAACAAGACCTACACATAGTAGACACCTCATAAATGTTTGAGTTGCCATGGTGTTTGGAGAAGCAGGAACAGAATAGACGATTTCCAGAGTAAAAAGATGTAGCAGTGCCTCCAGGCCTGTGGTAAGAGAGCTCAGGCAAATGGACCACCCATGCTTAAAAACAAACAACAGGCTTCAGTGAGTGCAGTTTCCAGCTGCAAAGGAACTGCTACCCCACTATCCAAAAACACCTGTCATCTTTATCCAATGGTTGAAATTCCACAGTTAGACATTCAATCCTTTGGCTATATCTGACACCTGTTTCAGTGGAAATCCCCCGATATTAAATCCAGGCGATGACTGACACGTTTGGCTAGGGAGATGAGTACACCCATAGGTAAGGATGCCCCAAAGTCCTGTGGCTCAGGCAGCAGGTCCTTCGGTTCCTCTGCACTTACTTGGCGTACCTTTCTGTCTGGGTCCCTACAATTGTCTATTGCAAGTTTTAAGAAAAATTTAATCCATAGTTTTCCAGCCCCTTTACAAGACTCTTCCTTAATGCCTGGCCCGTCTCTGACCTGTTTCTTTGTATTCTCACACAACAGTCCCTGAACTCATGGGGGATGGGAGACAGGTACCCCACAAAGGAAAGAACAGGGGTCCAGAGAAAGGGGATGTGCCCTGGGAAGTGTTTCTCTCTCTCCTGCCAGATCCTTGAGTGTCTGGCCGAGACCGCAGGCAAGGGGTGGAGGTCAGCATTGGCCCACCAGGAATGAGAGAAGTGGCTCTTACTTGGACAAGGCCAGGCCGTGCTTGCCCAGCTGTGGGTGCAGGTCAGCCAGGAGGATGCCAGCCTCCACAGTCACCTGCTTCTTCTCTGTGTCCACCTGCAAGAGACCAACATGGGCTGGGGTCAGCTAGGCTCTCACCCAGCCCCCACCCGGCAGCCACTGCCCCACGAATAAGAACGTATCTGTCCCAGCCTGCGGTCAACTCAAGCCACCGCTTGCTGCAGGCAACCAAAGGGAGGATAGGCAGAGCTCTATATTTGCTGGAGTTCTGGGAATACCGTCATCCCCCCTTATCTACAGGGGATGCTTTCCACAACCCCCAGTGGATGCCTAAAAATGCAGATAACACTGACCTTTACATAGACCATGTTTTTCCCTACATACACACACTTATGATAAAGTTTAATTTGTAAATTATGCACAGAGAATAACAACCGTAACTAAAAATAAAATAGGACAATTATAACAATATACTGTAATGAAGGTTACGGGACTGCAGTCTCTCTTAAGGTATCTTATCATACTGTGCGCAGCTTTTCTCGTCCTGTAAGGATGTGAGATGGTAAAATGCCCATGTGATGGGAAGAAGTGCGGTGAAGGACATAGGAACTCTGACATAGGATTAGGCTACTGTTGACCTTCTGATGATATATCCTTCTGTCCTTCTATGCCCTTCCAATCATCTGCTTTCCAATGGCAGTTTACAGTGGGTTACTGAAACCACAGAAAGCAAAACTGTAGGTAAGCGGGGGCTGCTGTATTCCATGGAACCCCTTCTTCTTGCAGGGGAAGGAAATGAGGAGCAAGGAAGAGAAGGGGTTCGCCCAAGGTCACTGGCAGAACTGGGTTAGAGTTCAGTTCTCCTAATTGCCACTGTGCTTTCTCCTGATCTCACCGCACCCCCCAGACCAGGACGGTGGGATTCCCATAGAGCCATGCAGAGTCACCAACTAGGGAGGGTCTAACCCTGCAGGGGGCTTGAGTTGCTAGATGGGAGTCCAAATTCTCCACTTACTCTCACCCGCGGAAGGTCTGAGGCAAAGACTGGGAACTGGCAGGGGACGGGAGGTTCCTGCCATGGGCGCAGAGGGCACTAGAAGATTCCTGGCAACCCTGGGAGGTTAGAGCAGAGTCTCTTCTTTAACAGGGAGGTGCCCCAAGTTCAGGGACTTAAAGTCACTCCCCGAAGGTCACGCGAGGGGGGGGGGTGGAACTGAGAGGAGAATTCACATCTCTGTGACTCCAGAGCACAAGCTCATTGCACCAACCCTGAGCACAGAGCCGGGCAAAATCAGTTGTTGGAGCCCAGTCCTCACTAATTAGCAATCAGAGTTAATTACTGCCATGACTGACATCTTGACCAGCGTGGAGACTGTCAGCCTGCACAAAGAAGGAAATAATAGGAATTCAGAACCTCTGCTAGCAGGGCTGGGTGGAAAGGAGGTTACTTGGCAAAAACTACAGCTCAGGGCAGCAGGTCCTGGCAGGGGAGAATAGGAGCTCTCCTATTCTCAGGCACTTGTCTGGCCTCTTCGCCCTGGCAGGTGTCCAGGAGGCCTGGGTGGGGCGCTCCCCAAGTGCTGGCTGAACTGCACAGAAGGTATCTCAGCACAGTGCTAGTGCCCGACTCCTGAGTTTGTACCCAGCTCTGTTACTGATTGGCTGTGCAACCCTAGTCAAGTTGCTCACCCTCTCAGATCTTGTTTCCCCATATGTAAAACGAGTTAAGCATCAATCCTTCCCCATTTGTCACTGCGAGTGCATCTCGGTAGGGTCTGACTTGCTGTTACAGAAAAGCAGAGAAGGGGCCCTGGCGGAACGAGGTGAACGTCCTCCCTGTGGCCACAAGGAGGCGCGCGGACACCTGACAAGAGGCCTGAGGCGGCCTCAGGAGGGCTCTGCGGAGGGGTGATCACGGGCAGTTAGAAGTGCGGTTTCACTTTGGATTCGCGGCAGGGAGGGGATCAGGCCTGATGGCAAAAGCTGGGGCGTTTCCTGGGGCTGGGGTGCAGACTGAGGCTGCGGGCCAGCAGAGGTGGGGAGCCGAGGTCTCTGAGTACCTGGAGAAGCCGGTTCATCTTGCCCATGTGGATCATGAAGCCATCAGTGCAGGCGATGTCTGACGGCGAGTGGCCACCGCCCACCACCTTCACCCGCTTGTTCTGCTGCCTGGCGAGGGCCAGCACCTGCCAAGAGGATGCCCCAGTCAGCCCCAGCTCCTGCCCTCTCCCTCAGGCAGCTGAGACCTGGCGGGGCCGCAGCTGGGTGGGCCGCTCAGGCTTTGCACCCCCCGGCCTCCAAGGCCCCTGCCTGGCTGAAGGCCGCTGTGCACTCCTCTCAGGGAAAGGGAGCTAGAGTGCAGGACCAGGAAGTAGGCTGGATGGAAAACTGAGCAATCAGCCTAGGGTGGGGTCCCCGTGCGCGCTCCCCGCAGAGGCTGGGGGCTCTTCCGGGTACACCTGATGGCATTCTTCCCCAGCACAAAACCTTTCAAGGGTACCTGAATGCCACAGGCTCCTCATCTTGGCCTACTTGGGTTCGGCGGCCTCCTGAGCTGGAATGAAGGCCCCTGGGGCGGGCAGTGGCTTGATTTGACTTGGTACCTGCCTGTGTCCGTGCCACGTCCAGCCCCACTAGTCTCCGGTGATCACTGAATGAATAAATTTATCAATGCATGGTATTGCCCAAATGAATGCATTCCCTTTCACCCTCGGGTCCCAGCTCAAAACCCTCACATCTGGTCCATGGAACACTGGTTTGACAACAGGTACCACAGGGGTTCCGTGAGCAAGTGAGACTGGGAAGTGCTCTGTCTTCACTGGCTCCTTCCTCCACCTGGGATGCCTGCGACACGTTTAAGACTACAGGCTCTCCAACAAAGAAATCTGTTTAACATCATCTTCTGTAAGCCTTCTGACCATACAACCTAGTCTTAGGACCTATTAGCCCTCCAGGGAGACATCAGCCCGCAGTGGCCTCAGCCTTCTAGGAATTCACAATTGTATAGGCTAGTACAGTTGAAGGAGGCCTTGGCCTATGGCCATCTCAGCATACGTCCAGCTTTTCCCTCAGCTCAGAAGGAAGACAGTTGCCTCGGCATTCAAGGCCCCCTGCTCCCACTTTCCCAGCCTTCCTCTTCTGCCCTCTGCCCAGTCCTCCCCTCCAGGCACATCTGTCCCCACCCCTGACCTGTCCAGTGCCTCCCCAGACCATGCTCCTCACTTTCCTTTGCTCACAGTGCCCTTCCCCAGCCCCCTGTGCAGCTTTTATCCATTCTCCCTGGCCCAGCTCAACCACTTTTCCTGTGTGTAGCTTTTCCTGCAGGAGAAAGTAGAGGCTTTGAATCAGACAATCCCTGTGTGAATCCTGGCTCTGATACTTATTAATATGGGAAAATAACAAAGACTCTATTAGCCTCAGTTTACCCATCTGTGAAACAGAATAATTGCAAGCAATTATAAATATGCTATGAAGGAAACAAACAAGAGGCAGAGAGAGAGAACACTGGGGCCGTGCTATAGATAAGGTGGTGTGGGAACCCACTGAGGAGCTGAAGGTTACCCTGAGACCTAAAGGATGAAAAGGAGTTAGTCATGTGAAGAGTGAAGGGACAAGCATTCCTGGCTGTGGGAACAGCAAATACAATGGCCTTGAGGTAGGAAAAGGTTTGGTTTGTTTTAGGAACAAAGGGTGAACCAAGGCCACGTGATACATGTCCTTGGGAGTCAAGTTACAGTTTTACTCCACAAACAATAAGGAGCCTCTTAAGGGCTTGAAGCAGGGGAGTAGCCCCATCAATTTACATTAAAAAAACAAACAAACCCCGTCTACTGATGTGGAAATTACATTCCAAGAAGAAAGAATCGAAGTAGGGAGACCAGGAACAAGGCCACCCAGGTCATGTCATGGTGGATGAGGAAGGGACTGGGTGGACTGGGCATGGAGAGCGGCAGTGGTGCTGAAGAGAAGGGGATGGATTCCAGAAACTTCTGGAGAAAGACTTGCTTTCTCCAGATAAGGGAAAGAAAAGACAGTGCCCCACTTCTCGGCTTCCAGTTTTGAGCAAGCAGGTGCCTCACGCAGAGACAGGCATAAAAGAGGTTGAAATAAAAAACAAAGGAGTCTCAGAACACTGGAAGTGTAGTCTGGGGGCATGGAAGTCTGGGATGACTTTGAGACACACAAGAACACCCAGAGGAGAGGTCTGAGCTGGAAGTGCATGCAATGCTGGCAGCCAGTGGTGGCCCGGTCAGTTGTTAACAGGGAGCCTGGACTGCCTGGCCAGCGGTTCTGGGTGGGAGGTGCGTGGGGCGGTGGTCCTAGCCAGGCACATCCCCAGTCCCTGCCTCCTCTCCGGGGCAGGGCCTGGTCTCCAGCCCTGAATGCGCGCTTACCTCTCTGACCTCCTCCACGGACGTGGGCTGATAGTACATCTCTGGGCAACAGCCATAGGTCCTAGCCCAGTTCTGGAACTTGACTCCTTTGTACCCATGGACCTGTGAGAGGAAAAGAGCTGGGTGGCCACAGACTCGTGGCAGCGAGCTGCCTGGAAGCCCTACCATGCTCCCGCCATCGTAGCGGGGGAGGCTGGGGTCCGGGTGCCAAGCCGGGCTCCTCTGCCCGGGTCACCCCTCAGGGCTGCTGGGAAGATGCCACACGCGTGGGATGCTCTGAACCCAAGCAGCTCCGCGTGGGGCTCCCTGTGATCTCCCTTGACCCCTCGTGGCCACAGGGCAGATCATGCAGAAAACGTCCATTCTCAGTGGAAGTGACGGGGTCAGGGGTGGAGCCAGGGAAAGCAGGTTTTGGCTCTCCTATCCCTTCTCTGGCTGCGGCACCTCTCAGAGGGACCCAGCAGAAGGTGGACTCCGCTGAGCAGGGAGACTGGGGAAGGAGCAGCCCAAGCTCGCCTGGTGGCCCAAGAAGGACTCAGAGCTGCTGGTCACCTCTCCCACCAGACTTCTCCTGCTGGGAAGAGCCAAGTCTGGGAGACTCCACAGCAGCCTTCCTGGCGTCTGCACCAAAGCAGGGAGCGTTGAGGATAAGCCTCCCACTTGCTGCACGTGGCCTGTGTATCCAGCACTGTATTGAGATCCTCTATACATCGTATCTTACTTAGACCTTCTAATAATGCACGAAATAGGTAACAGTACTCCCATTTTCAGGAGCCGAAATGAAGTTCAGAGACGTTTAGTAACTTCCCCAAGCACATACAGCAATCGAGTGAAGACATCAGAGTTCAACCCAGGTCTTCCCCTCGCACGCTTTCCCCAACACCCCAGTGCCACCCCTAGAGCCTCAAGTCCAATTCAAGAGGGTCCCTGTGGCCTCCCCTCAGACCCAGACTTGACCTAATTTTGTCCTCCCGTGCCTGGTTCCCTGGCCCAGCCTGAGCGCCACCCTGCTGGGCTGACCATACCATGGTTCCAGGAGTGGGTCAGTGACCTCAGGCTTCCTCGGGGGCAAAGCGCCCAGTAGCGGCGTGCAGAGACGAGGTGGAGCGAGGGTCTGGGGCAGACAGCACCACCAACCTCAGCGCTCACCGTAGGCTCTGTATCTACTGCACACCAAGGGGCTCGGGACCTCTGGCAAAGGTGGGTAAACAGTGTTGCGACAGGCTCCACCCAGACAAACAGCAGCTCAGGCCTGCCCCCTGCCTGGGGGGCCCTTCCCAGCCCGGGAGGCAAACAGCTGAGTTGAGAGGCTGCTGTTCTGTAGGTGGAGGCTGCTTGAGCTCTGAACTCAGCTCTAGGCATTCTGGAACCAGAGGACCCTGCTGCTTCAAAACTGGGTCCCTAATTCCATAGGTCAGGGGAGGCTGTGATGTGGGGGGCCCGTGGGGGTCTTAAATAGGGGCTCCCTTGGTCTGTACTTGGAGGAAGGCCCATGTGGCATCCTGGGACAAATGGGTTCTGCGTCTAAGTTACTTAGCTCATTTGTCAGGGTTAGGGCATGAATACAGTAAGCGGCCCATCACCGTAGGGAGACAGGACAGGAGGCTGGTGGCTTAGTACAGGCTGGGGGAGGGGAGACAAGAGCCGCTCAGCCCAGGCAGAGTCTTCTAGCAGGGGCCTTCCCTTCCCCAGGCTTTAGGGCAGACAGACCCGGGTTCCTCATCCGTGCTTTGCCTGTTCATCTCTGCGCATCTTGTTTTCCTCCTCAAGAAAGTTGTGGCGCTTTGGCCTAATTCTCTAGGTTCATATAAAGGTTAGAGCAGGCGGATAAGGAGCATCAGGATGCCACGGGAGCTTGAAAGGGCCACAAGCTCTTGCACCTGCCCCAGCGGTGAGCTTGTTGGTGGCGGGGACACTACTGTCTTCTTGCCAACCCTTAGCTGGTGTCTGGCACAGATGCAGCGCCCAAGGCACATTTTGTGCAATGAACAAACAGTCTGGCCATGGAGCGTCTTGGCTGATCAGGTATCTCCAAACCAAGGGTTGGGGTCTAGCGGGAAGCCGGAGCAACAGCTCTGGGGTTGCGGAGGGGGAAAGGCCAGGCTGAAGGAGTGGAACTGGGGTCAAAGATGCTGGAGAAAAGTCCTGGAGAGGGGGAGTGTCGGAGTCACACCTGCATCTCCCAAACCAGGATTCCCACCAGGAGACCCCAACCCTGCCGACTGCTCGATGGCAGACTCCTGGCCTCCAGGACTGTGAGAGCATCAGTCTCTGCTGCTGAAGTCACTCAGTCTTCACGAGACAGAAGAGCAAGTCCCGGCTCCTGGCTCCCACGTGTGAGCCTGGTTCACTTGGGTGGTTCCTGAGGGAAGAGGTAGGGCCTGCGCCTTGCATGGCTGTGGCTCCATTGTCTGAGAGAAGCAAACTTGGGCCTGGAGGGTTTCCCACAGAACCTCAGACTGCCTGCCTGGGAGCGTCAGGGCTTGGTGAGGGGCACCGTGGTTGGAGGCCTTGGCACTGAGGGGTGGAGAAAGCTCCTGGTTGGCTTGGCTACTGTCCCAAAGCCCTGGAAGGAGGTCTGAGAACCTCAGCCCACAGATGGAGGGAGTATCAAGCCTGGGGGGACAGAGAGACCCATGGCAGGGAAGAAAGGGAGCACTGAGAGTCAGCCAGGTATCACCCTAAATAACTAACTTGCTTCCCACTCACCCTTCAGCCGTGTCTCCACAACTTCAGGCTGAGTGTGTCCTGTTCCCACCACTAATGCCCCCATTCAATCCCAGTCAGACTCATGCTTTCTCCTTTTGGTGAATGCATTCTGCTCTGAGACATTCTGGAACCCAGCTGCTATGGAGTGCAGGATGGGCCTGGAGTGTGCCTCGAACTGCCCGAGGGGCTCCCTTCCTCCCCCCACCCCCCGCTGAGATTTCCCAGAGCCTGGAGTCATGCAGTTTTCTTTCTTCACCTCTTGCTAACTGCTCTTGGAGGGAAGGCTTTTCTCCCCACTCCACAAACCAGTCACATCAATCTTATAAATTGCCTTTACTGAGAAACATAAAATGGCATAGGAATGGAATATAAAAATCAGCAAAAACAGTGTGTGTATCAGTTAATTCAATCTGCATTGCCACCAATCTGTGGTTGAGGGTGATGGTTTATTGCTTATTTCCTCTTGCCTGAGGGGCTCAGCTAGTTCAATAATCGCTGAGTCTTAATTTTTTCAAACATTGGTTGGCAAGGGAAATTAATGTGACTGTTTCAATGGTGAACGCTTATTTTTTGACCTTTTCTCCCCTCATACTTGTTCATCAATCAGAATGATTTCCTTAATACACAATTGGTTCGTGGTAACTGACCACTTCTCTGAAATAGTGTGAACATTTGGAAGCGTGTTTAATGATTTCTGACCTGCAGATATTACTTCCTTGTACTACTCATTCTCTTTAAAATGTGATGTGGGGCATAAAGTTCACTCAATACATAAGACAAAGAGGGATGGCATGGTCTAAAATGTCCCCTGCTTCTGAGTCCCTTTTCCACCCGAATCCAGGAAAATTAATGGAGAGAAAGACCAAATAATCCATCTTCCTCAATCTATTCAAAGGGCAAAAAAGACTACTGCTTGGGGGGCTTTCTCTGGAATTTTCTTACTCTGAGTTGCATAAAACAAGAATTGTTTCTGTCTTTGAAATTCTGACATAAGCCAAGTTGTCACACCTACTCTCCAATGCTGATACATCTCGTCCCATTCTGAGGGGTTTGGCACAAACATGGAAAACAATGAAGTGCATAAGAAACACAAGTTAGGTCTTAACCAAGACCTTTTAGATGTGGGAGTTATTTTTTAATTGATTAAAAGTGGGTTTATGGCACATGGAATGGGAGAAAATATTTGTAAATTGTATTATCTTATAAGGGATCAATATTCATAATATATAAAGAACTCCTACAACTCAACATGAAAACAGACATGAATTAAAATGGGCAAAGGACTTGACATTTCTCCAAAGGAGACATACAACTGGCCAACAAGCACAGAAAAAGACGCTCAACATCACTAAGTATGAGGGAAACGCAAATCAAAACTACAGTGAGACACCACTTCACCATGAAGAGGGCTATGATCAAAAACTCAGAAAATGACAAGTGCTGGTGATGATGTAAAGAAAATGAAACTCTTTGCATCGCTGATGGGAACAAAAAATGGTGCAGGTGCAGCCACTCTGGAAAAACAGTATGGTAGGTTCTCAAAAAATTAAACATAGAATTACCCTATGATCCAGCAATTCCACCGATGGGTATATAACTCAGAAGAACTGAAAGCAGGGATTCAAAGAGGTATGTGTACACCACGTTCATAGCAGCCTTATTCATAATAGCCAAAATGTAGGAGCCACTCAAGTGTCAACCAACAGATGAATGGATAAACAAAATGTAGCTTGGCCAGACAATGGAGTATTATTCAGCCTTCAAAAGGAAGGAATATCTAACATAGGCTACAACATAAATGAGCCTTGAGGATCTTATACTAAGTGAAATATGCCATTCACAAAAAAGACAAATACCGTATGATTCCACTTATGTGAATTAGCTAGAATAGTCAAATTCACAGAGACTGAAAGTAGCATGGGGGTTGCCGTGGGTTAGGGAGAAGGAGAACGTGGAGTCAGTGTTCAATGTGTATGGTCTATGTCTGGGACGATGAAAACGTTCTGGAGGCAAATGGTGTGACGATTGCAACAAAGTGAGTGTACTTTGTGCCACTGAACTTGGACACTTGGAAACAGTTAAAACGGTAAATTTCATGTTGGGTATATTTTGCCACAGTGAAAAAAAGAGCTCTTACAGGAGTACAGACATCACTGATATTCTTTTTTTTTTTTTAAGATTTTATTTATTTATTAGTTAGAGAGAGAGAGAGAGCATGAGCACAGGCAGACAGAGTGGTAGGCAGAGGCAGAGGGAGAAGCAGGCTCCCCGCTGAGCAAGGAGCCCCATGTGGGACTCGATCCCAGGATGCTGGGATCATGACCTGAGCCGAAGGCAGCCGCTTAACCAACTGAGCCACCCAGGCGTCCCATCACTGATATTCTTTTGCAAGTAGGTACCAGCCTCAGAACCCTTGTACAAAGATGACAAAATGTATTGAGATAAACTGATGAAGTGATTCCACTCATGCATCTATAGTCAACTGTAAATACTTCAGCTGTGTTTTTCAAAGATGATTGCATTTCTAGTCTGTGCAGCAGAAACCCACTGATGTACTTTTGCAATTTATCCAGTTAATGCTAAGATTCGTAGAGAACTTACTTCTGGAGGTCTTCTCTTTTTTTTTTTTTTTTTTAAGATTTTATTTATTTATTGGCCAAGAGAGAGAATGAGATCCCAAGTAGGCAGAGAGGCAGGTAGAGAGAGAGAGAGGAGGAAGCAGACTCCCCACTCAGCAGAGAGCCCGATGCGGGGCTCGATCCCAGGACCCTGAGATCATGACCTGAGCTGAAGGCAGAGGCTTAACCCACTGAACCACCCAGGTGCCCCAGGTCTTCTCCTTCTTAATTTAGTTCTAATAACAGATAAGCCAGGAGTCTCAGTAAGAGTCTTTTTTTTTTTTTTTTTAACACTTTTATTTTTAAGTAGGCTCCATGCCCAACGTGGGGCTTGAACTCACAACCCTGAGATCAAGAGTCTCAGGATCTACCGACGGAGCCAGCCAGGCGCCCCAAGCGTCTTGTTCCATCAAGGCTTGGTATGATGGACAGTCATGCAATTGGCCATGTGCCTCACGCGGTAGGACATCCAAATCATGAATCTGAAATGAACACATGAATCCATGCATCCATGCTTCCATCTCTGATATATCAGCAAACATCTAATGAGCCTCTACAAAATAGCAGGCATCTTCTGAGTTAGGATCCAGGATGAATCACCTAGACAGGCAGCTGCCAATCTCACGGGCCCTCCTGTCTCGAAGGGCAGACAGTTAACGGAGTGTGGTAGCCAATATTCAGGAGAAATTTCTACAGCCTCTAAGAAAATATTCTACCATTTGTGGCTAGATGGATTC